AAAAAAAATCAATCAACGTAAACCCACGAATTCACATGCGGTGAGAGAGCGGGTTCCCCGAAACTTTGACAGAGCAGCTGTCGAGACCTTCCGAACTAACATTACAACCTATAGTCTCCAACTTCTCTCTTGCTTCAACCTCGGCATAATTGTTTATGATTAAAATATTGTTGTGCCGTGCGAAGTTAGGTGGAACAATTTATTATTATAATTGAAATTATATAAATTGTTCCACCTGACAACCTCGCACCTTTATTAATTAATTACAGCGGATTTACATCCGCTTGAGCGGTGGAACCCTGGCCTCTGAAGAAGACGATAGCGTCAAAACGTTAGGCCGTTAAGTTAATAAATTGTTCGACCTAACGACCTCGCACGGCACAACAATATTTTAATCATTACAACCTCTATTATTTTTTGAATCATCACCATTCTCAATAGTTTTTCAGGTCTGATACTTCTTCATTTCTTATATATTTAGTGATATCAATGGTTGCGTTGGTGCTCGTGTGGATGTGGGTTGTTCGGATGATTTTGCTCGATCAAGGAGAGAATCGCCATCCTTCAAAGTGCGGGTTGAACTGCCCGTGAAAAGGTAAAGCTTTCATTTTTATTCATTTGTCAAGTTGGTTCAGTCACTTGCAGAACTAGTGGGGGATCTAAATGAATTTGCGAATCGATTTGTTACAGGGACCCTGTACTAAACTCAGTGAGTGGGCAGAAGTCGAAGGTGGTGGATGTACTGCAGAATGAAATTATCAACCAAGGCGCATTCAACCTTGAAAAGGTAACTAGGAGTCGAAGATGGCTTAAGTTGCCTTGTTATTTATATCTGTAGGAATCGTATACCCTCCTATCTCAAGCTACTAATCACCATTTGATCTGTAAAACTCATAAGCATTAATTGTTCTTTTTACCTAGGCAGCACACTCATTAAGACTTTTCAGGTACTTCCAAACGGTCGCCCCGATTTGACGTCGTTCCAACTACTGGATGAATTCCATTGCCAATCCGGGCAAGTCACCGTCGATGATGTTTGTGGTGAGTTTTTTTTCTATAGGTATCTACATATTACAGTACCTAACAGAGTACGGAAAATAGGTCCAGAGTGGGAAAAAGAAAGGTTCGTGATGAATAGAATTGTAGCTATCAGACGATTTAGAATTGAAAAAATGTTGGGAACTCTCGCATGAGTTCTCCATGAAAGTTTCTGTGATTCTTTTTACTTATTTCGAAAAAAATAGGAGTATTAATTATTCTGACCATCGAATAATTGTAAACGGAGTAAATGCTGCTTTAACTCAGTAGTTCTCACTGGTTTTCAAGAGATTTTGTTTTTTCTTGAGGTCCTGTACAATAATACTGTCGTTTCACGGTGTGAAAATTCATGTTAGGAAGGCTTCAAATCGCGTCTCATTGTTATTTAATTAAATTACCCTGAAAAATAATTGTAGCCATAAACTGATTTTTGGAATCCCTCTTCATATTAGTCAAACTAATGGTGGTTTTAGTGCCATGTGCTCCTGGTTCATTCCATTCCGTACTGTCATCTCAGTGTGAATTGTGTCCGGAAGGAGAATATCAGCCTCTTCCTGGTCGAACTGATTGCTTCAAATGTCCGCCTGGTCACGTAACCGCTGGTCCAGGAGCCATCGCTGAGAATGAGTGCAAAGGTAAATCTGGATAGTTGAAGATCATTTCAACTAACATTTACCAATACGGCGGCATGTGCGCTCCTGAGTGTTTTTACTTGTCGCTGAGAAGTTGAGGATTTCTGTATCCATGAAGGTATATCTGAGTCTGGTTGACAATGTTTTGAAGCACTAGGAGGTTACGACGAGGAATTGATTTGATTCTCACTTTCATCTCTTTCAAAAAAATTCCCTGGGATTCTAGGGTCAATTAGCATTTTATTTCAGCGGATTGCGAGCCAGGCCACTTTTTCGACATGTCATCTTCGAAGTGCGAACCGTGTGGATTTGGTTTCTTCCAACCGCAGGGAGGATCGTTCGAGTGCACCGCCTGTGGTGTTGGCAAGACGACGATGACCGAAACTGCAACAAGCGACGAAGAGTGCAGGGACGAGTGTCCAGGTGAATTCAGCACTGCAAGTAGCACCATGAAATTTCAGCAACTATGAAATCACCTAGAAACAGACCGAAAATAACTTTAGTGCAGATCCGTAAAGGCTTTTCATAAAAATCAAGCTGAAAGTATAACAATGACTTCAAGCAAAAAATGTTCAGACGGTGAACAATTATCGTCATCGGGTTCCTGCCAGTCATGTCCATTCGGCTCGTACCGTACTCGGGGTGAACACAAACAGTGTGTACTGTGTCCCACTGGTATGTTACTAGTGTTTTGCTCTATTTGATGGATTCTAAAGGACATCGCAAAGTCACGGCGAGTTATGTCTTACTGCGGTTATCTATCAGGTACTACCACCGAATCTGTTGGGGCAACTCGACGTGAACAATGCAATACACCGTTATGTAAAGCCGGACAGTTTTTGGTGAAAGAAACGTGAGTGAAAGGAGCACGTTTTCTGGATGCATTTGTCTCATGTTTGTCGATAATTTAAAAATTTCTAGAAAGCATTGCCAATACTGCCCACGAGGCACATTCCAAGACGAAGAGCAACATACCACTTGCAAAATGTGCCCAACTGATCACACCACAGCAGCTCAAGGTAACATTGTTGACTATGGAAGTGTTCTGCTCTTCTGGTTTTCAAAGAATTTGTATTTGAAGAGGTAGTGAGAGATAATGTATCACTAGAGATTTAGTTCATTCCGAATATTTGCTGTAAGTTTTCTCTGCGGATTCAAATGCTTCAAAAATTCTCAGTTAGATAGAAGTGTATGGATGAAACCTTTAACACTAACTTAGTTCAACTTATCTTTCATATTCCTTGCTCTTTCGTGGGCCCGGGCAACTTGATAGTGTTTGATTGTCATTTCACGTTGGTTTATCTACTCTATGGGTGCTTTTTGTTTTGTTCAAGAAATAGTTTATATTTGTATCGAATTATCACAAGGGTGGTCATCTTCACTCATAAGTTCAGGTGCGACAGCGGAATCACAGTGTTATTCAACAAACCAATGCGCTACTGGTGAGGATAACTGCTCATGGCATGCTCATTGTATAGATCTCCCAGACGACAACGATGTGCCGTCCTTCCAATGTAAATGCAAGCCAGGATACCGTGGTAATGGTACCTATTGTCAAGGTGAGTAACCTTAAATTTTTTATGATATTATTTTATGCCTTCTAAGCTGCAGTCGACTAACGTTGAAGATTTACAGTGAAGGGTTTCATGAATTGGGATTAGGCCTCCGGTTAAGGTAGGTCTACTGGGTTGCCTGAAATATTGGCAAAAGAAAAACCCATTGTTGCCACTACAATGTGATGATCAAATATTTCCTTGACTGGAGCCCATAATCACTTTCAATCTTCTAGCCACGGGATTGCGCTCTATATGAGTGAAAAGCACTGTATCGACCGCCTTAATTACCACTCGAGTTCTGCAACTTACTCCCTCCCTTATTAAAGGCAGTGCGATTATGAATGTTGACAATTACTCTCGCTCTAATTTGTTAACCTTGATGGCTTTTCCTGTCTGCGCCTTCAGCACTGAGTATTTACCTGTAACTTTTCAAAATGTCTAATATGTTATTTCATTTGCATTTTTCCGTAGTCTCTTTGTGTCGAAAATTTGAGCCTCTATTTAAGATGCTTGCACGAATTACTGCCTCAATGACGGTGTTTGTAAGAAGAACCCTGTTGGTTACGTGGAATGTGCATGTAAGGAGAACTTCAGTGGTGAACGGTAAGATATTGAAACTTTCTCGATTGATTACGTGCCCCTAGTCATCCTCCATTTTTCTCTCATGGTTTAACTTACCCGTAGTTCCTCGTTGTCTCTCATCTATTTCATGTCGCAACCATCGTAACTTCTTGGATTAAATTATCTCCCTTCAGGTGTGAAGTTCGTTTCCAACCGAAATCGCAACGGGTAGCAATGATAACCGCTGGTATAGGTACGCTCTTGTTACGATCAACT